GTCCGGTTCAGTGATCCAGCTCTTATTTCCATCTCGATTCCGCATTGCAATACTTCTTATTTGCTATTTGTTACACTATTATGGAACCCAAGCAAAATATCACTCCATCTTTGCCTCCTACTCTTATCAATGGTCCCATGACTTCTGTTAAACTCAATGGGACTAATTACACTTTATGGTCCCGATCTGTTCAAGTTTTTCTTCGAAGTAAAGGATTTAAGAAATATTTGGTGAATTCTAAACCGAAGGAAGACACTTCTGGGTATGATCAGTGGGAACAAGAGGATGCTCAGATTATTTTTTTATTGTTGAATAGCATTGAGCCTAGTATTAACACTTCTCTACTCTATCTTGATACTACCAAAGAGATATGGGATCACTTGGCTACTATGTATTTTGGTTCAGGTAATTTTACCCGTGCGTATGAGGTGTGCAAGGAGTACTTTCGGTTGGAGCACGGTACTCTGAGTCCTGCAGATTATTACTCCCATGTTCAGGGAGTTTGTGAGGAGATGAAGACTTATCATCCTTTTACTATTGATGTAGCAGTTTGGCAGAAGCAACATAAGGACCTAAATGTTGTTAGATTTTTGGTAAGATTGAAACCTGAATATGAGGCTATTCATTCTCAAATTTTGGGTGGTTCTAATCTTCCATCACTACTCGAGGTTTTCTCTCGTTTTCAACGTGCTACATTGTCTTCTCCTTCAGGCATTGATCATGGTGTCTCCACTGATTGCTTAGCTCTTGTGGGTCCTAGTAGCCACAGTGATGGTCATCGAGGTGGACGTGATGGTCGAGGAGGTCGTACAGGTGGTCGTGGGGGCCGTAGTGGACCACGTTCCTGTACTCATTGTGGTCGTGGAGGGCATACTGTTGATTTCTGTTGGGATTTACATGAAAAACCTTCTGGTACTGTGAATCAAGTTTCTTATCAAGATGACACCTCTGTTGTGGCTTCCATACTTCGGTCAGCTCCACTAGACGCTGGGTCGATTACTATTATACGAGAAGAGTATGCTTAGTTCCTGTCCCAGGAACAGGCTGTTCCATCTCCCTCCATTGTTACTTTTGCTCAGTCAGGTACAACTTCCACTTGTTTGTTGTCCTCCACTCGCAGTTCTTGGATCATAGACTCTGGCGCCTCTGACCACATGACTGGTACGTCAGATGTTTTTTCTACTTATCAGTCTGCTACTTCCACACGTAGTGTTACTCTTGCTAATGGTTCTTGTTCTAAAGTTTCAGGTATGAGGACTACTCACTTGAGTCTTGATATGTCTCTATCTTCCGTATTATTTGTTCCTCAATTTTTTTTTAATTTAATTTTCATTAGCAAGATTACCCGTTCTCTCAATTGTTTTGTAACCTTTTATCCCTCTTATTGTATCTTTTAGGATCTCAAGACGAAGAGGAAGATTGGTACGGGGCATGAAGCTGGTGGCCTATATTTCCTTGACTTTGAATCACCTACCCGAGCTCTACAGACCCCATTGTCTTCTTTTCAATGGCATTGTCGTCTTGGACATCCCTCTCTCCAGAATCTGAAACGCCAAGTTCCCAGTCTTAGTTATGTGTTGTTTTTGTCTTGTGAAGCTTGTCAACTTAGTAAGCATCACCGTGTGTCATTTCAGTTTAGAGTCAATAATCGTGTGTCTAGTCCATTTGAATTAGTTCATTCTGATGTATGGGGTCCAATAAAGAATATTTCATCTAATAAATATCCTTATTTTGTGACATTTGTGGATGACTATTCTCGTGTGACTTGGTTGTTTTTGATGAAAGCTCAGTATGAATTATTCTCTATATTTGAGACCTTTCGTAAGAAAATAAAAACTCAATTTGGTTGTCGTATACGTACTTTATATTCCGATAATGTTCGGGAATATGAATCTGATCTTTTTTCAGCTTATCTTAGTAAAATTGCTATTATTCATCAGACCTCTTGTGCTTACACCTCTCCACAAAATGGTATTGCTGAACGCAAGAACCGTCATTTGTTAGAAGTTACCCATGCCCTGTTATTTCAGATGAATATTCTCCGCTATTATTGGAGTGATGTTGTTCTTACTGTTTGTCATCTTATTAATCGTATGCCATCTTCTGTGTTAACTGGACAAATTCCATATTCTGTTCTTTTTCCTGGTAAGCCCTTATTTTTTCCGCCTCCTAAGGTTTTTGGTTGTGTCTGTTATGTTCACAATTTAGGTCCTGGANACATGAAACTGGTGGCCTATATTTCCTTGACTTTGAATCACCTACCCGAGCTCTGCAGACCTCATTGTCTTCTTTTCAATGGCATTGTCGTCTTGGACATCTCTCTCTCCAGAATCTGAAACGCTAAGTTCCCAGTCTTAGTTATGTGTCGTTTTAGTCTTGTGAAGCTTGTCAACTTAATAAATATCACCGTGTGTCATTTCAGTTTAGAGTCAATAATCGTGTGTCTAGTCCATTTAAATTAGTTCATTCTGATGTATGGGGTCCAATAAAGAATATTTCATCTAATAAATATCCTTATTTTGTGACATTTGTGGATGACTATTCTCGTGTGACTTGGTTGTTTTTGATGAAAGCTCAGTATGAATTATTCTCTATATTTGAGACCTTTCGTAAGAAAATAAAAGCTCAATTTGGTTGTCGTATACGTACTTTACATTCCGATAATATTCGGGAATATGAATCTGATCTTTTTTCAGCTTATCTTAGTAAAATTGCTATTATTCATCAGACCTCTTGTGCTTACACCTCTTCATAAAATGGTATTGCTGAACGCAAGAACCGTCATTTGTTAGAAGTTACCCATGCCCTGTTATTTCAGATGAATATTCTCCGCTATTATTGGAGTGATGTTGTTCTTACTGTTTGTCATCTTATTAATCGTATGCCATCTTCTGTGTTAACTGGACAAAGTCCATCTTCTGTTCTTTTTTCTGGTAAGCCCTTATTTTTCCCGCCTCCTAAGGTTTTTGGTTATGTCTATTATGTTCACAATTTAGGTCCTGGATTTGACAAACTTGACCCTCGAGCTACCAAATGTGTATTCCTTGATTACTCCCGCACGCAGAAGGGATATCGTTGCTACAGTCTTTCTCTGCACCGATACTTTACTACTATCGATGTCACATTTGAAGAATCTGTTCCCTACTTTCCAGCACCTTCTCAGCCTTTGGATCTGGACTTTGGATCATCTCCTGTACCATCATCTCTGCTGCCCACTGTGTTACCATCTCCTTTACCTCTCCGTGTCTACTCTCGTCGTCCTCGCCCATCGACTGAGGTGTCCGTACCGTCTTCCTTGCCGCCTTCTGATCCTGGTACATCAGGTAATTTAGATTCTTTACCTATTGCTCTTCACAAAGGTACTCGTTCGTGTGTTACTAATCATCTCATTTCTCACTTTGTTTCATATGATGCCTTGTCTCCTGTCTTCTCTTGTTTTACTTCTCAATTATCTGCTATATCTATTCCTAAGCATTTATAGGATGCATTATCTGCTCCGGGTTGGAGGAAAGCTATAGAGGAGGAGATGGATGTTTTACATCATAATAAGACTTGGGATCTCGTTCCTTTATCTCTTGGTAAACGAATTGTTGGCTGTCATTGGGTGTATACTGTTAAATTTCATCCAGATGGTTCTGTGGAGCGTCTCAAAGCCCGACTTGTTGCAAAGGGTTTTACTCAGACTTATGGTGTTGATTATGGGAGACTTTTTCTCCTGTTGCCAATATTTCCTTTGTTCGTATTTTGATTTCTTTAGCTGCTAATCTTGATTGACCCTTGTTTTAATTAGACGTCAAGAATGCCTTCCTCCATGGTGACTTGGTTAAAAAAGTATACATGGAGCAGCCACCTGGGTTTACTACTCAAGGGGAGTATGGTAAGAGTGTATGTCGGTTAAAAAAATCTTTGTATGGTTTGAAGTAGTCACCGAGGGCATAGTTTGGTAAGTTTTCAGATGCAGTTTTAGAGTTTGGTCTTCTTCGATGTCAGACAGATCATTTTGTGTTTCATAGACAGACAGATGCTGGGTATGTTCTATTGGTGGTCTATGTAGATGATATTGTGATTACTAGAAATGATTTTGAGGGAATTGCCAAGTTAAAAATATTCTTACAGGATCGATTTCATACTAAGGATTTGGAAAAACTTAGGTATTTCTTGGGTATTGAGGTGACTCGATCTAAACAGGGTATTTATTTATTCCAGAGAAAATATGTACTTGACATGCTTGAGAAAGCAGGTTTGCTGGGTGGTAGACCGATTGATGTTCCTAGGGATCTAAATCAGAAATTATTGATAAATGATGGTGCATTATTTGAGAATCCGGGTCGGTATCACAAAGTGGTTGAAAAGCTTAATTATCTCACTATTACTCGACCGGATATTTCCTATACAGTCAGTATAGTAAGTCAGTTCATGGGATGTCCTAGAGTACCACATTGGGAGGCAATTACTCGCATTCTGCGATATCTCAAACGAGCTCCTGGACTTGGGTTGTTATATCGAGGTAATAGACATCTTAGAGTGGAAGGTTTCTATGATGCTGATTGGGCTGGTTCTCCTTCTGATCGGAGATCAACCACTGGTTATTGTACTTTCTTAGGAGGTAATGTTGTCTCATGAAAAAATAAGAAATAACCCGTGGTAGCAAGATCTAGTGCTAAGGCTGAGTATAGGGCAATGGCATATACGACGACGAGTAAGTTGACTTGGCTACTACACTTCCTCCAGGAAATTAGGTTTCCAGTTCAACTTCCTTTACAGTTGTTCTGTGACAACCAGGCAGCTATTCATATCGCTGTCAANTCAAATCCTTAGACATGCAAATTTCTAAATCTAAAGGCTGCTGATGTCTACTCACTGCTGTATTCGGCATGCATGACAGGTATGGGAATCGTAATTCAATAGTTAACTTGAAGACAGATGGACTCCACAAAAGTTGCTGCAGTGATTACACAAGAACATAATTTGATCCCAGCTGTTTCTTTACATTTATTGATTTATGGATGCAACAACTGTTCTATGTATGGAACAAGTTTTTTAACTTGGTATAGATGTAAAGCTACAGAATTATCAATGCTACTTACTTTTGCAGCATAACAAGATGCACGAAAGAGCTCTGTATCATCCGCAATGGCATGACGTTCCTTCAATCTTCTTTTAATTTGATCCCGAGCACCAATATAAGTGACACCATACACTGAAGTCATCACTGTCTGCTTCACCAACTTTCTATCCACCTAAGTTATGCCCATTTATTGAGTCAACTAGCAGTTACACAACATAACTAGGTGTTTTTCTGAATAATGCATGGTCGGGGAAAAATTAGGGTTTCATCTACTTCAAGCCATCAAAGTAACAGCTAATGCAGCTATCGAACAACACGATTCAGTTGGACCAATGGAGCAACTGAGATGGATTCAGCTCTACCTTATAACCAATAACAATAATCGTAGTGGTTGTGGTGGTCATGGCAGCTCTAATAAACATGATAAAAGTGGCTAACCTGATTGATCAAAACCCTTGCATGCAATGCATCTGGAAAAGCTGTAGGATCTTTCTGTGAGTCTCGCTTCATAATTTCAAGAACTCTGCAGGTTAAGAAACTCTATGAACTTGCTCTCAATTGTGTCTTTCTTCTTCAAAAAATCATGGACATTGCAATTTAAGTGCCAGGTGCAAAAAGGAAAAATTTACAAAGCCTTTGTCACTTAGAACTATTTGTACAATGGCGTAAGTTTAACATTAATAAATTGGAGACTATCTAAAAATTTCAACAGGACAATATAAAAATTCTCCTATTCAAAGCTTCTAGACAGAGTAAATAGCACCGTAATTCAAAGTATAGTTGAGTACACTAATTACGACTTCTAAATTTAGATACAGAGAAAATGTATGCAATACTAATCTTCATTACTTGCATTCTAAGTCAAAAAGAGAAGCATAATTAATATTCAGATTCAAAACCATTAATCAAGTGTGTTGGATCGGTGGACTGGCTACCGACCTAACCTGTGGCTACCCTAAATTTGAGTCCACAACCTTATGGTTGTTACCATACGAATGCCACCACTGCACTTGGAAATGACCCCTCTAGAAACCATGTCTGTTGTTTAATTAGAAAAATACTTCAATAACTGCATCAACTGACGCATGGCTGGGAAGTTTATTTTGAAATTCTATGCTGCAAGTTAGACTTGCATGACCAATCCAAGATGTCAGCATAATGCTCTGTCCAGTCGAATTTCAGTTCTGGTGTTTTTAAATATTTTTTAAATTTTACCATATGACTTGAAGCCCATCAATACGTTAAAATTTTGGAGTCCAAACAAACTAGTAAAGTTCCTTGGTGTTATGATGTCTCTGTTTTGTATTTCATGAGCATTCTATGTTTCAAGCTTCCGTATAACCAACAGTATCCACCTTGGTAAAGGCAACATCTCTCTGCTAAAGTTTTGTTTTGTTATTATCTAATTTTGTACTCCCTCCTTTCTTATTTTTCTTTGCACTTGATCACCCAGACTGATCCCAACAAAGGGATCTATAAAATCCTAGACGAAGTAAGATAAACCCCTCACAGCCCAGCACCCTGCATCATCACCCAAAAATAAGGAAAGAAAAATATAATTTTGCTTTCATATAACAATCTTCTTTCAGCAAGATCAAAGCAGCTCACCTAGCCGCTATTCCCGAGTAAACATCAGCAGGTTTTTCTCCAGCAACCAAATTAACAGCAGCTGCTCCCAACTGATGAAAGATTTTCAATAAGGAAAATAAATAAGACAGCATAGAGCTCCAGCTCCAAGAAAATGAAGTAGGAAAGGACCATCACCTTGTCTCTTCCAAGGGCAGCATAGTGCTGTAAACCATTGCAAGAACCATCCTAGAATATCACAAAGTGGAAAGAAAGAATAAGTTACGATAAGGAACTCAGAACTAGCAATGAGAGCTCAAAGAATCTCCTTCTGTTAGAGATCACTTATTTCCATTTTATGACAACAATCAAAATTAACACCCAAAAAGCGGGGGTATTAACGACAAAGGCCCAATATTAGTGACAATTTTGACATTTCTTCTATCAACTAACATAAAACAAGCAAATTGAATTGATACTTGTTTTGCTTTCATGGTAGAATAAGATAGCATTGAAAAATTGATTCCTGATGGTTTAGAATCTCAACACACCCAACAAACGCACTAGACATACAGCAGGGGACACAGACAGATAGTGAAAGCCAGATTGCAAAACAGCAGCTCCCTAGAAGCCTATAACCTCCCTGTTCCACCCTTAGATACAACTCTAATCTTCTTAATTTAATACAAACCAATGTTTGGGTAAGTATATTCAACTTTTGATGTATCAACAAGAACACAATTCTTGTATTGTCCTAGTTTTAGAAATAACTGAGAATTTATAAAATGAAAAAGCTTAGAAAGATGAAGAAGACTTCAGAATACCAAGATTTATAGGTGCTATTAAGATAGTACCTGGTGTATGGGAATATGTGAAATGGTCGTCTCTGGAGATGAGCTTCTCAAAGCTTCAGAGAGATTAATGCACACAGCCAAGCACTGAAATGGATCTTCTGCATTTAACCACCAGCGCCTTCCTTCAAGTGGTCTGTCTGCAGAATCAAATATATCATCCAGGTGATTTTCAGTAAATGCTATCCGACCCTCGTGAGATAATTTGTCCACACCACCAGCAAACAAATTTGCCAAGTGTATCTTAAGCCAACGCAACCCTGATTTCCCTAGAGAACGTCCCTCTGAGAACTCTAGAATACCCCGGCACACATCTGAACCAAGATGGTTTAAGTGTGGATGCATGGGATATGCACGACCTCGAAAGTCAAGGTTGTGTGGGTAGAAGAAACCTTCTTCATCTTTCAATTTCCTTGCAACCTGCTCCATAATCGAGAGGATTCCTCATGTGTATCATCAAAATAACACTTTACAGTTAAAGCATCACTTCTTACTTTATATATACACACACACACTCTCTTATACATGATTACATTTTGGCAGGAAGTGAAATTGGATCTTACGACAAGTTTGAGTTCTATATCACACCGCTGTGAATGTCTTTCTCTGTTCTCCTTTTTCACAGATTTGACTTTCCACCTCCACTTCCTAAGTACAGCTTCATCTTCTGTATCTGGCTGCGCTGGCAAAGCAATCTGCAATGCACAAGAAGAATAGGAAAAGTTGTTTTTCAAATGGTACAAAGCCATCTCATACCATTATCTCGGACAAACAAGGACGAGTATAATGTTTCAGGAAGAATATAATGTGGATGTGAGGTAACCCACATCATCACGATCAACCAAATCAGCAAGGCGGCCTCCACTAGACCATATCCTGTCAACGACATTAAGCAATCTCTTATTCACCCTCCATTTGGTACTTCCGAGAGTATCCAAGGCCTGGACCAGAAAGGGTTTCACATATCTCAGTGCTTGCAAATAAGCTGGTATTCCATACAAACAAAAAACAAAAATTACACATCAGAAGTTCTCAAACCTCAAAAACTGGTTTTAGTTGCTCCCTGGAGGCACTCTTAACCGCTTCCCGTTGTTGTCTTGCGCCATGTGTGCGCATGACATAGGATGGTAAAAAAAGATGTGCTCCCTTGTCATAACTGCAGAAAACAAATGAATCGTGATAGAATAATAAGTCATTGCACCTTTAAAAGCAACTTACAATTGGAAACAGATATAATATCCCAGGTTCTTTCTGATTAGTTAACAAATTGAGGAGCACAGAGAGGGGAAATCAAACAACTGCTTTGGGTACACTACTTATTAAAGGCAAAAGTCCTGCTTCAAGTTCAAGGTATTCAGATTGAACTGAAGTTCTCGTGGCATCCAGGGAAGGAAGTTACAAAAATGTGTGCCTTCAGCAAGTAGCAATAAAGGCTCTACCTGAATTAGAACTAAAACAACTAAAATACACTAGAATTTGCTAGCTTGTGCAAATTATAGAACGAAGGGACTACATACCCTTACTAGAAAGAAACAGAGGTAGACCACAGACATTTCTTTCCCTAAGATCTGCATTGTTTTGTCAGATAATTTTCACAAACAATTGAACAGTTGAAACACCTAGTTATCCCGCTAACCTTAAATATTAGCCTCCATCTTCTTTTGACTTTTTAATTTCTTTTCAAAATTGTCCACGTCAAAGCACTTGAAGACTTCTATGTAAAAATTTTGTTTTTTAATTATTTGACTCTTTGCCACCCCCAGGTTGCAGATACGATCTAGATGCATTCCCTTATTTTAATTGTGATCATTTTTGTTTCTTTGTTGCATTTATAATTTGAATTGGTGCTCATTCAAGTCTCATGTAATAATCAACTATAACATTTTCTCAAACCAAAAGCTTCCCAATAAAATATACAAAGGTGGTTAAAATAGAACTTGGACTCATTCCCAATAAGTAAATACAAATATATAAGTAAAAACAATGACAAAAAATTTAGATAACATACCCTGTCCACTTGACTGGAGGCACCAACATTGGCATATAAGGGATCACCATGTNGGTGGTTAAAATAGAACTTGGACTCATTCCCAATAAGTAAATACAAATATATAAGTAAAAACAATGACAAAAAATTTAGATACCATACCCTGTCCACTTGACTGGAGGCACCAACATTGGCATATAAGGGATCACCATGTGCCTGGCCTGTTGAACAAATAACAATTTTTCCACTAAATCTTGTAAGGGAGGATAACAAAAAAGAGATGCAATAAGAAAGGGATAAAAAGCTTCAAAATTTCAAAAATTCTTTGAGAACACCAGGTGATCATGTAAGCTTGCTTCAGTAGATTCTGAAGTTGACCACAAATTTAGAAGCTAACACATACTCCACAAACGGCTGCCGACAGCCAGTAGGTTCCTTGAGACTATGGATTGTGGTCAAAATGCCAAAGGAAAANAACCCAGAAATTTAGAAGCTAACACATACTCCACAAACGGCTGCCGACAGTCAGTAGGTTCCTTGAGACTATGGATTGTGGTCAAAATGCCAAAGGAAAAGAAAAATANTAGAAGCTAACACATACTCCACAAACGGCTGCCGACAGCCAGTAGGTTCCTTGAGACTATGGATTGTGGTCAAAATGCCAAAGGAAAAGAAAAATAAATGGATTCACTTACAGTTTTCTCGAGGCCTTTACGCACAAGTGGATCACACTGAATAACACCGAATCTTCTGCCAGTATTCCTGTTAAATGAAGCCAAATCACAATTTAAAGGGTTTAAAACCACTGAAAAACTCGTAAGAAGACACAGGAATGAATCATTACTTTGTTTCTATCATTACAGTTTTCAATGTGTGAACAAATGCAGGTCGAATATCCGGTGGACTATCTGCCAATTGACTAGCTGGAGACTGTATATAGGCTGTTTGCAAAAGCAATTCTATCAAACGGCTCCCAACCTGAAAGATAAAAGGATTTATAGCACCCTAACACAACCCAATACAGATGGATAGTGACTGCTTCAAGTGCTTGCTAGAGATCATGCGAACCTTAGCTTTAGCCTCCTGATTCCAGGGTTTTGAATCATCCTGTCTCTTCACTATCTGCCTCACTGCCTGCAGCTTCTGTTTTTTCATCAAACCAGTGACTTTTTTTCGTAGTTTCTCTTGTTCCTGGACTACAGGATTGGATCCATCCCATTCACTTTTTGCATCCCTGTCAACTTTTTTCTTCTTTGTCTTCTCCAAAAATTTGTGTATTCTAACCTGAATACACAACAGAAATAGAAATTAAACAGACCTAAGTACAGCACAGTTTAGGTGGAGAATAGTGTGCCCAGGAGTAGCTGTTTCTCAATTGTTGATGAAATAAATAAAACATTAACGGGAGGCACTTCTCAAGTTAGTCAAAGGCCAAGAAAGTAGAAAATAAAGGGGAGACACTTTCTCAAGTCAGGCAAAGGCACAGAAGGTATAAATGGCCATCATACCATCCGATGCAACATACAGTCACAAATTAGAAAGCTGCATAAAATGGAACAAAATATGGGTATCACTGACAGAGACGCCATCTCACAAACATCCATGTTGGCTTCCACCATAGCCAAAAAAAAGCTCTCAACTCAGAAGCATCAAACACAAGACTGTTTTGGATCTGACTGTAATCTTTTATTTGAAATTTTTCACCTAGAAAGAACATAAGTAAACAATTGTTAGGAGTCCTGAAAAAATGCCAAAGAGCTTGATATCTCGAGTTTGAATCTGCCCTCTTAAGGTCATCCCCAAGGATTTATTCAATAACAATCTGATGCAAGTGGACCAGGTGGCTGTATGGGGCCAGTACTGCACGTGCCTAGGAAGTATAGAAGAGTGCTCAAAGAAAGCAGATACATCCTTGTTAGGGAGTACGAGAAAAAAAAAAGTGCCTTCCAATTCAAGAAAAAGCAGATACCTCCTTGTCAATCTGGCACCTACCACGTAGGTCAAACCACTCCTATGTACTGATGTGTCAGTTCGCCTATGTGCACATTTCCAAATCTTTTCTGATGACATTCCCTCATAACTATTTCAATTAACACCGCTTCTAACTTCCTATAATAAATTCCTTTCAAATACCATTTTCTGGTAGTACAGCTCATCCATGTCGACATTCTCGTTTCAATAGTATAATATTTCATTACTTAACATCATATTGTTCAAGGTAGTCTTTCTAATTGATTTTTGCCATTCTATCACTACCTTGGACTTCTACAATATAATCTGTAAGTTTAACAACGCGATATATGGTGCAACATTGTTACCTTTCCTTTTCAATACTGGAAACACAATTCTATTTAAGTGGAATAGAATTGTTTACCAATTTGCCACTTCTCTATCATCATCTTGAATTACTTAGTCAATCAAGATACGCCAACGCCCATAGACTTCCAAACTTCAATCTTAATACTGACAAAGTAAGTTCTTGTTACCATTTTTATTCTTTAGTTGAGAACCATCTGGGAAAATTGCAAATTGTTGGTACATTCAATCTTGACTAAACAATGGAAGTTCTATGCTTTATTTTTAGTTTTTTGCTTTTTCTCATCCCCTGCTCCCTTTCTTGGGCATCAGCTGAATCCTGGCTGCTACA